CGCCTCAGAGGCATTTGGAACCTGTCGCTTTTTGTGCGCCTTTCGCTTTTAAAATACTAGGCCATACAAAGACCAGCTAGGTAAATTCCACCTGCAACCAAATAAGGCAAAAATCCAATCCCAAATAGCAACAGAAAAGGAGCAGGAAATTAGTAAGTGGAAGCAGTCCTCACCATTAGCTTTGCAAAGAATACACCAGCTAGGGGACAAGCACATAAAAGGCTTCTTTTTTTGTAGGCAGTCTAGAGTATTGATTTTCCCATAAAACACTTCACAACAAAACAAGATAATTTTAGGAGGAACAAGCTTATCCCAAAGCTCCTTTACCGGAAAAACTGATTGAGGGGAGGAAGAACAAAGGGCTTTCAAAAAGGAGGCACAAGAAAAAGAGCCCTTTGGGTGGGGGGACCAAATCCTCTTGTCTGACTGTAAAGGATCCAAACAGACATTATCAAGAATCAAAAGAAGTTGAGAAACATCACCAAGTTCAGCATCCCTCAAGCCCCGACGGAAGCCAAAATCCCAATTTAACGACAAAGGCAAAAGGGGATAGGGAAGGAAATTAGAGACAGCCTTATTCTTAACCAAGGAAATAGAGTAAAGAGAAGGGAAAAGGTCTTTTAAGGCTGAATTTTCCACCCAAACATCTTCCCAAAAGAGAACAGAATTCCCTAAGGAAACATCATACCTGACAAAATTAAGAAATTGGGGAAGGATTGCTATGAATCACTTTCCAAGGAGTTGTCAAAGTAGCCCGTCAAGAAACACCAACATCCCAGCCATTATTTGAGCAACCATGAACACTAGCTATCACCTCATGCCACACCTCCCTCTTTCCAAGGGCCATCTCCACAGCCACTTACCTAACAAAGTTGTATTCTTTAAGTCCAAGACCAAATTTCCTATCCCCAATTCACCTTCTTCCTTACTTCTACACACTATATCCCACCTTATTAAGTGATCCCTCTTCTCTTCCCCTGGCTACCTGATCATGTATGCAAATCCTATATAGTTAAAGTTGGTGATAGGGAATTATTAGCTGATTTAATGGTACTAGAGTTGCGGGATATTGATATAATCTTTGGCATAGATTGCTCAGCAACTAATTTTGCATCCATGGAATGTTGCGAAAGATAGTGATATTTCGAATTCCTGGTAAACTTGAATTTTTCTTCATAGGTAGTGGGGCGGATGTTCAACCCCAAGTCATCTCTGCCCTGCAGGCTAAACAGTTCTTGAGAAGAGGTTGTAAGGCTTACTTGGTCATAGTCAGAGACACTAGCCAGGGAGAAAAACAATGGATATTCCAATTGAAAAGAATTTCCATGTGTTTCTAGAGGACTTACCAAGGTTGCCTCTAAATAGGGAGATTGAATTCTCCATTGAATTAATACCAGAAACAGGACCTATTTCTAAAGCCCCATATAGGATGGCTCTAATGGAATTAAAGGAGCTGAAGGAACAATTGCAGGAGTTGTTAGACAAAGAATTCTTTAGACCTAGTGTGCCTCCTTGGGATGCTCTAGTGTTATTTGTGAAGAAAAAGGATGGACGCATGTGCCTTTGCATTGACTATAGGGAATTAAATAAGGTGACAATACGGAATAAATACCCTCTACCTAGGATCGATGATCTTTTCGATCAGTTGCAAGGTGTTCAAATTTTCTCCAAGATTGACCTTCATTCTACTTATCACCAACTAAAGATTAAGGTGGAAGATGCCCCTAAAACCGCCTTTAGAATGAGGTATGGACATCATGAATTTCTTGTGATGCCCTTTGGTTTAATTAATGTACCAGCATCTTTTATGGATCGAAAGAACAAAATGTTCAAGCTCTTCCTGGACCAGTTTGTTGTAGTGTTCATAGATGATATCCTTGTGTATTCAAAGAGTAAGGAGGAGCATGAAAAACATCTAAAAATGGTGTTGCAGATTCTAAGAGAGAAGCTCTATGCAAAACTAAAACGTGTGAATTTTGGCGTGACAATGTAGCATTCTTGGGTCATGTAATATCCAAGGATAAAGTATCAGCGGATCCAAAGAAAGTAGAAGCAGTGGTGGATTGGAATAGACCAACTAATGTTATCGAAATTCCTAGTTTCTTGGGTTTGGCAGGGTACTACAGGAGATTTATTAAGGGTTTTTCCCGTATAGTCATGCCTTTGACTCAATCAACTCAAAAAGGTGTTAAGTTTTGAATGGTCAAATGAATGTGAGCAAAGTTTTCAAGAGTTAAAAAAGCAATTAGTATCAGCTCTAATTCTCACTATTCCTTCAGGAAATGGGGGTTTCACCATCTATTGTGATACTTCTAAGCGAGGTTTAGGGTGTGTTCTCATGCAACATGGTAAAGTTGTAGCCTATGCATTGAGGCAATTGAAACCATATGAATGAAATTACCCCACACATGACCTAGAGTTGGCAACTGTAGTATTTTCCCTTGAAATATGGAGACATTACTTGTATGGGGAGAAATGTGAAATATTTACTGATCATAAAAGCCTTAAATACCTTACCACTCAAAAGGAGTTTAATATGATACAGAGGAGGTGGTTGGAGCTACAAAAAGATTATGATTTGATTGTCAATTACCATTAAGCCAATGTGGTAGCAGATGCTTTGAGTAGGAACTCCACTAGTAATTTGGCTACATTGATCACCACACAAAGGTATCTCCTACTAAAGGAGTGATGAGATTTGGGATCCAAGGCAAGTTGAGCCCTAGATATATGGGCCCATTTGAGATTTTGGAGAGAGTCGGTGAAGTGGCATACAAACTTCCTTTACCTCCATCACTGGCTGGAATACATAACATGTTTCATGTTTCAATGTTGAGAAAATATATACCAGACCCTAATCATGTAACAGATCACCCCTCTTTACAGCTCAAAGAGGACCTAACTTATGAGGTGCAACTGGTGGGAATTGTGGACAGAAAGGAACAAGTGTTGAGGCACCGCACTATCCATTATGTTAAGATTCAATGGAGTAATCACATTGAGAGAGAGGCCACTTGGGAGCTTGAGGATGATATGAAGGAGAAATATCCCCAACTTTTTGAAAACTCAAGTATCAAAAAATTTATTTCCTACGTTCAAGACCAAACATTTAGGTTTAGTCTTTTTGTTTTCTTTTGTTTTTACCAAGAAGTCCCTCCAAGGGGGAAAATTACAAGGTAACCCCCCAGACCCCAATTAATTAAATATAAATAACTTTTTTTGGTATTTTACAGCTCTGGCGAGGTCTTTAGGCCCTATAGGAATCTCAAGGTGAAGGGGGACTCAAAGATGGTGGTTGGGATGGTTGAAGTATGACAGACAAAGAATGTGGCAATATCAGAATATAATGAGGGAGGTGCAACATCTAGCAAGGGAACTTCAAGCTACATTTGGTTGGGTGCACAGATCAACAAACCCTCTTGTTGGTTCCTTAGTAAAGAACAAGGCAAATAAGGAATAGTTGTATTGGGGAATAATCAATTGATGGACTGTAAATGTAACCAAAGAATAGGATCAGGTGGTAATGCCAGCCTGAATCATCCTTCTTTCTACATAAAAATTCTTTTATCATAATCAATAAAGGTTACAAGTTATCTATCAAAAACAGCATCCCTGAAGCTGCAGATGGATTTTTTTTTATGAGTAATAGTGAATTTTTATTATTTCAGAAACTGAATTAGATTTGTACTCCCATACAACATCCCTTGGAGAGGCGCAAGCTGCAGCCTCTCCCAATAGCTTACAAAGAAACTGCAGATGGGTTCTTTGAAGTACTTGATATCTTTCTAGTTAATGATGGATGAGATAGGGGCAAGTTTTTAGACTAAGAACTGGGTTAGATGAGAAAATCAGTGATTTCTTCATTATAGAAGAAAGAACTGAATCAGACTTGAGCTAAAAGAGGTTAAGTCTTTATCCAGTCCACCTCTTCCAAAATCCTGCATGGCCAGGACCAGCATTAGGTAATGAGCCTGCCTAATGGTCTTTAGAACCAAATCAAACTTCAGAACTGCTTGAGGTAGTGTAGTACCCAAAGTTTATTAAAATAACACAGATTATCATTGGCAAATCAATCCTACTTCAATGCTATAAACAAAATTCATATAAATGGTAAAAACCAGTATCTTTGGCTGCCAAATATGACAGGAAAGAAATTTCACAAAATTCATTTAAATGGTAAAAACCAGTATCTTTCAAGCATCTTAGCATATATTAACATCAGTTTGATGTTAAGCGGTTGCTACATTCCACAACTGAGATTTCAGTAAATGAGAAGACTGGAACTTTGAACTGTCCATCATTAACAACTACCAATCACAAATACAAACTACTTAATATGCACACATTTCATCTTTTCAATACAACCATACATTCCCAGAATATGGCAGATTCAGATATTTAGTTGCTAATCTCTGAATTAGCAAAAAATTGGTAAATTTATCCAATACACAATATGGTAAGTTCAATCCTCGTTGCTGATTATTTTTTCCACATTTCATTTCCTAATAGGCTAATACTTATCCAAATCTATTCTTATAATTCTAATTTTACAGGATAAATTTTAACCACTTCAGCTCAATCTGAATTCACAAACTTAGCAGCCTCTTTCTTGATATCAATGTCAGCAGCTTGAAGCACTTTGGTTAGAAGACTAAAGATGTCAAAATCAGTTACAGCCATTTTCAAAATAGAGGGAAGTGGAATCTGCTGCCCCTATATAAAATATAAGCAGATAGGTTGAGTGCATAGACAAAAGAGATCATAAGATGGCACCACACATAGAATTTCTAGAGACAAGATAAAAATGTGTGGATAGAGAGATATGAGTACCAATAAAAAAGGATGGAATTAGACATAGCAGGTCATGCCAAAGTTTCTCTATCACTTTTCCCTTTTCTTGTAAGAAAGGGAGTCTATGGAAATTAATTGTTTCATAAATCTCAAGACCTACAAATGGAAAAAATAAATCTCAAGACCAAAGGATCGGTAAAAATGCTCACCTTTCCCAGTGGTCTCAAAGCTCAATCTAACGTTTCAGCTTAAGTTCTCATACGGACGCAACCATAGCTGACAGATTAGCAAAAATTGTATTTCAGAAAATTTATCACTCAACAAATCTTTAGACATTTCTATTGGTCTTCGTCATTAGAAAGCATTATTAGTAGTTGTCTTAGAAAAGCTAAAGCTCATTTTCCCCTTTCCTAAAGTTATTGCTTACGACTACTTTTTTTGATCAATTGCTTACGACTACTTGGCTAGCAGATTCCTTTTTTTTTATTTTGGTAGAAGGCTAGAAGATTGATGAATTCAAATCTCTTCGGTTCATAATCAGTCTCACATCAAACTCCCAATTGCCCAGACATAATCCCAGAATTTCTACAAACAAATCATGGAAGAGAAACACTACAAACGCATAAACATGAAAGCGGGGAAGAATAGCAGAAACCACCAAAAACAAATAAAGGATCTAACAAATGCATAGCGGATCGAACCTGAAACTCTCAGTGGAAGATGAGAAGGACCTTCAAGAACTTGTCGTGATGATTCTCGCCAATGGATCGAAAATCTTTGAAGAATTAACACTGCTCCGAAGATTCCTCGAGAAACGAGAGGCCTTAATGCAATAATGATTCAAGGATTGCAGAAGGAATATGAAAAGATCTCACCGGAGGTTGTAGAATCTGACTTTTGTCGAGCTTATACCGATCATCTCGCCGGAGCAGATGGGTATTGAGAGAACCGGGGGGGGGAAGGAGGTGGATGCTAGGATTTTAGTGGGAGGAGAGTGCGTGTGGCGCGATTCGAATCAAGACGCCCGAGTCCGAACCCCTTTGCAGAAGAGAGCGCGTCCTCAGTCCAATACAATAAACTCTACTTGTATCTTTGAATTGTATCGAGTGACGTATGGTTGTTTTGGTGATTTAAATCACATACTTATGTTTTCTTGCATTACGTGGTCCAATTTTGGTTGTGCCCAAATCACTCTTGGATTTGGGAAGGTTTTTTGGGTGATAAGAAAAAAGTACAGTGTGATGCCGGATAAATATGATATCGGAAAAATTTATAATCAAACAACCGATATCATAAAAGTAGTAATCAATTAGGTTTTCATCAAAATTCGCAGGATTGTGATTGGTTGATATCATGTAAAAGCATAAAGACCCATATCAAAAAGGCATGATATCGAAAAATCTTATTCTTTTCAGCATCATATGTCTTTCTAATATTATAATTTTTTTTGGAATTATTGATATGCAATGTTTTAAAAAAGATGGATGGTTTGATTATACGGTCTGAACAGATGACCTATTCTGACAAAATAAATCAAAAAATCAAAAAATAATAATAATTAAAATTTAAAAACGGTTAAAACCATTAAACGGGTCGAATGGATTGACGGTTTGACTGCTTGGGTTACTAAGTCATTGATCGATTCAACGGTTTTTTATCATGAACCAAGTTTGGGTAAAACGGAACCGGTTGCTTAGATGGTTCTCGGGTCGAACGATCCAACCATCCGGGTCAACAGCGGCTCAAAAATCATGTTGATATGTTTTGACGTAGTCACACTCTGGACTGGACAATTGACCAAGAACTCGGTGACCAGTTTGGTTTTCCTTTATATCTTTTGAATGTCAGTAACCTGTCCCTCGTACCATAACCCCACCAAGATATGCAGCTGCAAGTTCCAGCACCATATCCCCAATTCTTATGTTGCATTTGGAAGCAGTGTAAAATCCGGTTCGATGTAATTTTTTACACTTTGGTTTAGTTTTACAGCTATTTGGTTGGAATGTAAAATAAAAACGAATATTGACGTAAACAAGCTTTCCGATAGATTTTTACATCAAGAAAAATACATAAAAAAAATCAATGTAAAAACCTCTTCTCATCTCTCCATCGGTGTAAAGGTAGTTCTCCCACTAATATATCCCTTCCTCGGTGCTGCTACTTCTCTAGTAGGTGTGATTTTCTCTCTCTATCTCTCTATCCAAGAACAACTGTTGCGACAGCCTCCATGACCTCAGACATCTGGTTGCGATCACGATCATGACCTTAGTCGGTCGGCAACCACCCCGATGCGACATCCAAGATTCCAAGATGGAATCAGTTGGTCAACAGTGAAAACCCAAACATGTATTGGACAAGAGAGAAGCTTCTGCAACTACATGGTTTGGAGTAGCGCCAAAGAAGCTCTAGTTTTCGATCCCAAAAACTAGAGTCTCAGTCTATACGCTTAAATCCTATGAAACTCTTGTCACATGTGCAGCATATTTCGATCCCAAAGCTAGATTTTGATCCCAAATTGATTTATCGTGGGTTTTCCTATCACTAGATTTTGTCTCTACAAAACTCTTGTTCTTTCTCATGTTTTCCCTTTTAATTTCTTGCAAATATTTAACACTAATTCATCATTCATCCACTGATTCATCAAAGAAAAATAGGGGTTCTTGTTCTATGATGAAAACAAAAAGCATTTATCTCAACTGCAACTTTTTAGGCTTTTGAAGATCATGCTCAATGTTGGAACATGGAAAAAAGAGGAGAGAGATTGAGGAATCGAAGAATTAAGCGACACTACCTTTTACATCAATCATCCAAACACACTAGAGTGTAAAATGAGTATAAAGCTGGTTTACTTTTTACACTCAGAAATCTAACCATTGTAAAACTCCATCAGTGTAATTTTGTATTTACACTGCAAACAAACGCAGTCTTAATGGTGCAAATCAGGTAACTAGTTTTAGGATTTTACACATTGGACTTCGAGTTTTAGATCCAGGCCCATTCAAGTTTTCATAAAATACCAACCCGAGCCCACCCAAGTTGCATTTCTAGTCTCCTACCAAAGATATTATAACACCTGCTTTTTTTGAACCGTTTCCTTTTTTTTTCATACCAAATTCAGCCAAAGGTGATTGTTTTGTTAAAAAATAAAATAATATCATGGGCATCATGTTTTGCCATTTTGTCATTCGTTCTATTTGACACTGTTTAAAATATAAAAGAAAAGAAAAACCTTAACACTCCTCTAATCTCTAATAGACCTGTTGGGCTTGGGCCATGAACATTTTAATTTTTACAATACTTCAGGCTCATTCAGTGGGCAGGCCCATTCAAAATTTGGCAAAAATTCAACCCAACCCTGGCCCATGAGATATTAGCAGCTATTTTAAGCCCTATATTCCTTCCTCTAACATATTATATTCCTTCCTCTATTTCTTATTTTTCATACATAATTTTTTGAAGGCCTATACATTTTTTTTTACAAAAATCTGGTTATAGAAATTAAGCAACTACCTCTTGAAATATAAAAAATTGCAGATTTCGAAGCTCATAAAGAAAATTCTAAATAAATGATGGAGAATGATTGAGGGGTAATTTGGCCCGACCTGTTAGCACGCATATACGTGGATCGACCTGATGACTAGACGATTCAACATTTCCTGCCACCTTAGTAGGCTAAGTCAGCTCGGGTACCTTAGGCACCTCAGCCAAGATCGAGGTCCGAGCAGTTTGTGATGGCTCGACCTGCTGAGGTGATATGTAGTCGATTTCTAAAAGATAGCCAGCTATCTCCGACCTCTCTGGGATCACGCCACACATCCGCAAGCCTTATCCTTATCCCACCCAGATTGGGCGGACTTGATAAGCCTTATCAGCTCAGACAAAGTCCATCTCCAGGCATGGAACGGACTCCTGGTAATGCGGGTTGGGAATCTCGGAGGTGTTTCTTAAGACCCACGGCAACTCACCTATATAAGGGCTCCAACCCCAACATTATAAGGTACATACGATTATTTGCTTACTAGCTCTCTAGCTACAAATTCTTGAATTCACAAACTCCATACACTAACTTAAGCATCGGAGTGCCCACACTGGGTAAGTCACCCCGGGTTCTCTGATTATGCTTTCTTGCAGTTCGACCAGCCATCTAAGTAGACCGACGTCTGAACTGCCATCCAACTAAGAGCAACCAAGTCGTGCACTATCAGAGAACATATTCTCATATAATGAATTGAGGAACCCATTGGAAACCAAACAAATGGAATCGGCAGCAGCACTCATTAGAAGTATATATAAGGGTAATGGGGTTTCTAGTTTTAGAGAAAATACCTTGTTTCCTATCCTACTTAAACCCCATGATATCATAAAGAAATTTAATGGATGCTCATTAGGTTCAATTTAGTAAGAGTATAAATACAAATATATGTAGTGCAAAGTTTTGTATTTTTTATTTTTAAACGTGTGTTTGTACTCTTTGGAAAGAGTAGAGTGTAAAACCTTATATTTTGTATTATTTTGTATGTACGTATTTGTACTTTTTTCAAATTGAGCCTTTAGCCTGTGTTTGGTTGCAATGCAATTTCATTTGTATTATAGTCAAACAAAATAAGCTAAAGTTTGCAACAAAAATAGATCAGAATTTACACTTAAATCATTTACACTGCCATTGTTTTGCATTAGTGCAAATTTATTTGCATTGCAACTGATGAGGGGTAATTTGGCACGACCCAGTAAGTAAAGGTCACGTGGACACGATCTACCGTAGGATGACAACTCAGCAAGAGGAGCCTAGTCAACAATTTTCAGAGCTCGGGTGTTTGATCACCTCGACACAAAGCCACCTTGGCATAAAGTCACCTCGGCACCTAAGCCAGTTTAGGGCCTAGGAACCGAAGTGACATGTAATCGATTCTAGAAGCTTCCTAGTGGACTACGAACCTCACAGGATCACGCCGCATAACGGCAGACCTTATCTTCTCCCTGTCCGGATTGGGCGGTAACGATAGACTTCATTGACTAATACATTACTCCCCGACTAAAGCGGAAACAGATATCATCTACTCAGGACGAAGATCTCGGAACTGTTTCGTGAAGCCCACGACAACTTAGCTATATAAGGGCATCAACCTCTCTAGGGCCCAAGTACGCGCAATTACTTACATTCAAGCTCTCTAGCATTCAAACTTTAGCTCGCAACCACAACAAGAATACTAACTTAAGCATCGGAGCAACCTCCCTGGTTCATCCACCACGGTCTCTCTGATCCCTGTTTTGTAGTTTGATCCAACTCGCCAGGTGAGCACGTCCAGGCAACCTTCCAGCTAGGAGCTTCCGGATCATGCACCATCAATTGGCGCCGTCTGTGGGAAACAATCGAAAGGTCATCCCAATCCTAGTTACAATCTCAATCCCAATCTCAACCTCAATGGCATCATCTAGCCACAATGGAAAGAGCAACATGAACATCACTAGGGGCAAGAACAGCAAACAGTCACTCCCCAGGGTTCCTTAGTGACTATCGACCAGTTTAGCAATCCCTTGACTGTCTTCGGCGTTCCATCACTGTCCGTGCCACACACTACCTAACAGGTGAGTGTCCTGCTCCCCCAAGTGAGTGTCGCATTCTCGGAACCTTTCGTGGTCCCCCTAGGGTCGAGCACTCCCAATTCAACGACCTTGTCTAGAACGACTGAATGATGCAGATTCAAATGCAGTAGATCCATCAATTCCAATAGCTTTAGTAGTACTATTTCTATCAACAGTACCAACAACAGTTCCCACCGTTGCAACTGAACCAGTTGGCAAATCATCATCAAGGGCAGACTCAGAACCAGAATCAGCACCGGGCTCATTAGAACGTCCGCAATCCCCTCTCCGCACGGAGAGAACTCCGTAGGTACCGATTCCTCCATCGGGACGGACCCCGCTGTGGGGTACAGTAGGCAACCCGGCGTACTCCCCCTGCTTCCTGAAGAGAGAGCTCAAGGGATAGCCCAAACCCAGCTAGCCTGAGAGGCACAATTAACAAGTTCCACATCAAGGTAACGTAGATCGTCAGCTCGAGGCCTAAGGTGCGGGCTCGAGAGGAGAACCCTTG